TTGTTGCGTTAACAAATAAGTGTTATATGTAAATATCTAATATCAACACATTAAACTAACTAAATTATCATGTTTATTTTCTTTCATTTCAGAAAATCATGGAAACGGTCGAATATTCCACCCGAAGAGGCGTATTTAAATCCGTTTATATAGAAGAATATTTACATCAATACGTTGACAATAAATGGACACAGAGTCAATTACCTTACGCCGTTCCTATGTCACTGGCATACATAATAATTATCTTTTCTTTGCAAAATTATATGAAGTCCAGGCCTCCTTTTCAGCTTCGTCGGCCACTCGTCATCTGGAATATATTATTGGCGGCATTTAGTATTTGTGGCACTTTAAGATTGCTGCCAGGGTTGTGGGTTTTAATTCGAGAGTTCGGATTTACGTTCTCCGTGTGCAACATCACTTTTGCACTAAAACATCACTCGCTTGCATTCTGGATGTCTTTATTTGCATGGTCAAAACTTATTGAATTCGGAGATACAATATTTCTTGTCCTTCGTAAACAGAAATTGATATTCTTGCATTGGTATCATCACGCTTTAACTCTGATTTTCGCATGGTATCTTAATTTCAATGAAGCGTCTACTGCATACTGGTTTGCTGCGATGAACGCTTCTGTACACAGCTTCATGTATACTTATTACGCTATGAAGGCGATGAAGATCAATGTACCTGTGTTTATTGCCATGACAATTACTATAATTCAAATTGCACAGATGTTTATGGGCTGTTTTCTTTCTTTATTGGCCACTTATACATATTATAGTGGAAAATACTGCGAACAGACCGACATGACTCTGTTGATTTCAAACTGTGTATACATGTCTTACGTATGGTTGTTTTGTCGCTTTTTTCGAAACTCATATTTCAAGAAAACAAACCGTTCTAACTTACTTCATCGAAAATATTTGTAAAAGAACGGTTTCTTTTTATAAAAATTGTTCATTATGTTATGAAATTATTTTATATAATGTTTAATCACTAAATGTATTTTAAGTAATTAAAAATGTTCTGAATTTGAATCACTATGAATTAAGGTATAATAATTTAACACAGTAATAATTGTTTGTTGAATAATATGAATTATTGTATTTTTTTTATTTCAAATTCGTCCATTTTTCTTATTCTTTAAGTTTGTAACTTCATTAGACATTAAGTAAACATAAAATTTTTTTATGTAACAGTGTTAAATCCTAAATTACTATTTAACATTATATATCTAATATCATAATATTTCATAATATTGCATGTTTTGAATGTGAGATTAAGTAGGATGAAAATATTATTAATTTAAAATGCTGTAAATTTTAAATTTTAATTAATCTAATTAAAGGGAACGAAGAGAGAAAAAAATGCCTGAAATGCTGATTCTTTCTATATAAAAAAATAGATTTTGTTGAGTGTGGTATTCAAGAACATACTATCACGTATCACGTACCTATTAATAGACTAACAAATGTAAAAAAAATAATAATAAAGTGAGTGAAGGAAAATAGTTACATAACTAAACACCAACCGTATGCCGAAAATCTATCGGGCTAGTTTAAGGCTAATTACTAAATGAATTACGTAACCAATTTGTCACTAGAGGTAAGCGTTAGGCGCCATCTCTTATTAACATTAATAATTATAAATAAATTAATTAATTTAAATAATTTAGAAGCACTGGGAGAAAAAATCGGCCCGGAGCGGAACTCGAACCCACAACTCCTGCTTACCGTGCAGATGCGTTGCCAGTTACGCTATCCAGTCTATTTTTTTCTCCCAGCGGTTCTAAATTATTTAAATTAATTAATTAATTTATAATTATTAATGTTAATAAGAGATGGCGCCTAACGCTTACCTCTAGTGCCAAATTGGTTACGTAATTCATTTAGTAATTAGCCTTAAACTAGCCCGATAGATTTTCGGCATACGGTTGGTGTTTAGTTATGTTATATATATCGGGTTTAGCAATGTTTATATGGAAAACAGTTACATTTTTTGTATGAAAATTTGTTATAAAAATTAATATTGAGTACTCACATGAGTAGATATCCGTATTTAATTATTACTGTATTCCAAAATTTTCTTATAAAAGTACAGTTTTTTAAATATCTCCCACGAGTTTGAGCAAATAATTATCATTTTTTAAATACAATAGAAATAACGCATTAATATCATTCGCTTTATACATCAAAAAGTAATTTAAAGAAGAAAAACACGTCAAACAGAATATACGTGTAATGTTCTGTTCGTGAATTATATACATATATATATATATATAATTCACAAATAATATATATATATTTAATATACAATAAAAGTTTTCAAAGAAATTCATTATACACTTAATACTATTTTCATTTATCGCCTAACACTGTGGAACATCAACTCCTAAACAATGCATTTACTTGACTCTTATTTGTCTTTGACATCATCACTTTATTTTCATGTTTATTTTATATAGCATCTATTTTTTTACTTTTTGAACATTTTTTTAATATCATCGTTTCGTAGAATTTTTCATAATTCATTAATTAGCTTATGGTTTCTTAAGAATGCAAAATAATTTATTATTCAGAAAACAAAGTAAATAAAATTCTTATACTAAAATCGGAGAAAACAGAAGCCTTTCACGTAAACCAATCTTGGGAACGGAATTTTAAAAGTGTATTCAGATCAGAGAGAAAAATTTCTCTAAAATGACCCCTTTACAGCCGGGAATTTGGCAATGTTGGCGAAAAACAATAATTAATAAAAAAACAAGCGCACGTAGTTAAGAACTACACTTCGGATTGTAGAGGAAGTTATTGTATAGGAAAATACTTTACTGATAAGGGATTAGTATGAGCGGAAACGATCCGACCAATGCACTTGTAATATATTTTATAAACAGAAATGTATGACAATTAAATATAATACTTTATATGTGGAAGAATGTTTATCTAGTACCTACAGAAAGCGCTACATTTATTACTTTACTTATCGGTGTAATAATATAACGTTTCAATATATAATTTCTCAATTTAATATTATATTCATGACTTAAATGTTAACCATGTTTAACTTTGTACGTATTATTATTGTACATCGTCTATGTAATTTCTTTTCGTCTTTAACGTCAGTAATTTTTCAGTTTTTGTATACAGTATTACAAAAATTTTTAAATTATACATCCGGTTTATTCGTTTTTAATAATTTATATGTTCAGTATATTTTACTGTTTATATTTATTACGGTGAATTACTTGCTTTGTTGGAGGTAGTGCTCGCATGCTGTATAACATAAAAATGAATATAAATAAATTAATTACTTAAATAATTAATGATTAACCATGCACTTGACATTACTGTTTATGTTATTTTAAGTTTAAACTATTAAATATAGAGCAATGTATGCCTAAATAGGGCATTTCCGTTAAATAGATGTAGAAAGGCAAAGTAAGGAAATTGATGGAGTAAGGCAGTGCAATACAAGTGATCTTCCAAAGAGGTGTGATGCCAAAGAGAAATTACCTACAGGACATGGCAACTTTAAGCAATAGGCCTACTTGTATAGATTTAATCTTGGAGACAATCCAGAATGCAAATGTGGTATTCAGGAAGACCAAACACCAATTCGCTTAGTTTTTCGCTGCAATAGGTACAATAACATTTTTAGAGCTGCTATTCTTGAAGGGTACAACTAGCCTTGCAATTTGCACAAACTCATTCACACGCTTACAATATTCCATCATCTACTCGCTTTCATATCCCTTAGTGAGGCTCTTCAGAGAACTCACTCCAAGGCACGGATGGCAATTAGCTTTCCCTTGCTTCGTTACAAATGTCGGTAGCTGCCTTTCAACTTTGTATTTTAATCCTTATTTTCTGACTTCTCTTTCATCGTAAATTCGGTTAGTCCTAGTTATATGTTAGATTAGGGATTCTTAGCTGGTTTCCAATTAAGTTATGCTAGGTTAACTTAAAATAGATTAGTGTTTCTTGGCTAGAATGTCTGGTATAAAAAGAATTAAAAACAATAAAAAATTCGGATCTTGCACATTTGTTCCTTTCGGTCCGTTCTTCTCGTCTAGTTTGTCATTGTCTTCGTCCGCTTTTCGCGCTGCCTGACTAGCTGTTAAGTAGTATTAAGAGATGCGTTCAGTTTCATTAGTATTAAATAGATATAAGTCTTTCTACTAACAGCCACTTTGTACTAACTTCTACCCTTAGCTATTCGTTACGGCCCTAAATTATTGGTGTTCGCTACCTTCGGGTGTTCTTTTAGAGCCTTGGGAAATTATGGCCTTGCAGCCTACAAACTGCACGCAAACATCAAACATAGAGAGTACTGCAGTCATACGTACGCCGTTTAGAGAAATCCTTCCTTTGTCTACTATATATCTCTTCTCCCTTCTTCTTCTCTTTCCCTTTCCCTTACACTCTTTTCTGCCGGCTAAACACCTCGTGTACAGCCGAAGACTTTCTTATATGTATATATGTATATTTGGAGTATTGTTACTGTTAAATTACTGACATTAAAAAACAAGAAGAATTTTTAATGTCTATATCTGGAGTGGGAAAAAAAACCTTAATAAAAATTTTACGCGTTATTAGCATTTACAATTATTTTAAAAACTCACTTCTTCTTCCCGAAATAAGAACTCTTTGATTTATTATAATAATTAATAACTGTTTTTAACAAACACTGTTTAAAAATTTTCCTTTGTGGTTTTCTTAACTTCCTGTTTATGTGGCAGGAAAGTCGCACAAAATCCTGCCAGTTTTTTTATTATGTAAATGTTTTAATTAGTTATAAATATTTATATACAGTATATTGATTTAAATAGTAATAATATGTGTATTCATGTAGAGTATAATAATTCATTATATAATTCAGTATATAATAATTCATGTATATACTGAATTATTATACTATGTATATATATATTCTACATAAATATACATATACAGTGTCGTAATAAATACTAAATTAGCAGGAAAATTTCTGAAAAATATATAATGAGGATATTCCATACTTATAGTTCAGTTGTTGTTAAACAGTTTGCCTTACAGGTAAGAATATTCACTGTTTACTTATATTTTAAAACTAGTATAATAGTTTATTTTCTTTATTTAACTCAATGCTTTTAGGTTGTTTTTTCTTATTAGAACACATTAATATTTCACGAAGCTCAATAATATCGATTGTATAATAATTTGCATACATTAAACTATAATTTTAAAATAATATTTAAGTAATTAACTTTTATATTAAAAAATTAAGTAACTCTACGCCTAGTGAAAACTGTTAAATATGTTTTTTAATTACAAAATCGTTGTTTTTACTGGTTTACCTCGTTTACTAATAAATATTATTTAAGTTTATTAAGTTCTAGGCTATATGAATAGAAAAAAAATGGTGATTTGACTGTGTCTTAACACTCCATTGTATTTTTGGCTGAATTTTTAATAGGGAGAATTGAGAATGGCATTGAAAAATACCTTTTATCAATGCCCATATTCAATTTTCCAATCATTCGTAGGGCGGTAATGTTAAAAGAAAAAGTTTCTCTAATCCATTCACTAACAAACGTATCAAAATTTAACAAGTTTATATTCTTGTAAATATATAAATTATTTAACAAATTCAAATATATTGATACATAAGAATATGTTTAGTCATTTACTTTTCTCCCTTTCCTTGTACGCGTTAAAATCTATAAAACAACCTCCTCATTAACTAGTCAACATCTGCGACATCAACAACTTTTTCAATTGGTGAATGGACGTTGTCTTTCTTAAATGCAGGAATGTTCGAAGAAGAATATTTCATGGCTATGCTTTCATTCAATATACAAAATATTAATGTTTATATTATGTAATTTAAGACTTAACTTGAAAATATTTTAATTATCCTATTAAAAAATACAAATAAATATAATTATAATATTTAATTTATATTTAAAAACATTTCTGAAGTATAGTTGTTGAAATTTTCGTTGCATCGAATATAATATTACAGATGATTACTTGTTGATTCAAGAAAGATAATTAAAAAGTAATTTTCATAACATTAGATATGAATTTCTGAATTGGAGATTATAACTTTCTGTAAATTTAACTGTACAGACTTCTTGAACATTGCGTATATTAATAGGTATGAATCTTTTCTAATACAATAGTTACTATTTTAAATAAGTCTCGTATTTATGTACTAAATTCACATAAAAGAACAAAGTCAAATTTTAAATGGAAATTTGAATACATTTCTTAAAATGGAGAGATTGTTAACACTTTCCCCCGCGGGGGGAAGTGTTAACAATAGAAGTGTTAAGTTAAAGCGGCGTACAAGATTAACAGGAGCAAATGCGTTTTTTTTTTGCGTTTTTTACGGGAAATCGAACATATATTTAGACCCATCTAAAAGTTCTCTAATTAGTCTGGAAACAGGGGGACTAATTCTTGTATTCTGTGACTATAATGTAATAACCTTAATCAACGCTCTCGTTACTCTTTGCCCGAGCAACGCCGGGCTTATTTCCTAGTACAGTAGAACCTCGAAAACTCGGCCTAATGTGGACCGAAGAATGGCCGAGTTTGTGAAAATGCCGGGTTATCGGGAATGGGGTTAAAAAATAAGTACGAGTGTTTCCTCAGAAAATAATGTACTGTACTTGTATGTATTGTTTACTTGAGAATATAACAAAAAATAAACTGCCCAAATATCCTTAAACAAAGGAAAAGTACGTCCTTTATGAAGGCATAGAGCCTTTACTACATGAAAATGAAAATTAATGAATACACTGTGTACAGTAATTTGCCTGATAAGACAGACCTCAGAAAAATACTTTATGAGAGCTTTTATACTTTTATATAGCTGTCTATAATGAAAATTAATTAACTAAGAATTTTTTTGCCCTGCCAGGGTGTGGCCGATTTATCCGGAGTGCCGGGTTATCGAGAGCCGAGTTTTCGAGGTTCTACTGTAATTGATAAGGAAACAAGCGCACGTAGTTCACAAACACACTTCCGATTGTAGAGGAAGCCATTGTATAGCAATACACTTAACTGATAAAGCATCAGTACGAACGGAAACGATTCGATTAATGCATTTGTTTTATATTTTATGAACAGAAATGCATGACAATTAAATGTAATACTTTATATGTGAAGGAATTTTTATCTAGTATCTACAGAAAGCACTACATTTATTTCCTAACTTATCGGTGTCTTAACATAAGGCAGTCAACTGTTTCGGATGAGAACGTAATTGTTGCTGGTTTATCTATCACTACTTATTTTAAATAATCTAAATAATTTTAAATGCTATAAGCGGATATGTTTCAAATATTTACTAATACAACATTTAGGCATTACGTGTTCTATACTTAATAGTGTGAACATGAAATATTACAAATAAAACACATACGTAGCTATAATAATGCAGATAATGTATAATAAATTTAGAATAATTCGAACTATTTAATAGTAAATAACATTTAGATACTGTTAGGGATGAATTAATCTTTAAGATTTGTACATTCGAGGCGATTAATATATTAAGATCAGCTTTTAGAGTTTCAGAATAAAAGGTGATTATTTATAGATCATTAGCAAAATTTGCAGACTTAAAATTTAAACAAGGAATGGCAAGATGGCAGACAAGTGATAAAAGTAAGGAGAATGTAAAAAAAAATAAATAATAAAGAAGCAAATGAAAAACCAGTTTAATTTTATAAATGACTAGCTGCAAGGACCCGTTTCGCTGGGTTTTTATTTGTTCGTACATTTGTATGTAATATAGTTTTTTTTTTTTATATAAAAGACTGTTTTTCTAAGTAATCTAGAATCTAGCTGCAAGGACCCGCTTCGCTGGGCAAAAAGTAACGATAGTGAAGATTAAGATAATTACATTATAGCCAATCTTACCCGTTTTCACAGAATGCAAGAATTAGGTCCCCCGTTTCCAGACTAATTAGAGAATTTTTACGTTTAGTCAAACGAACTATTTTCAACGTTTCTGGAACGTTTACAATCGTTCTATAATCGAACCAATATTCGAATTTTATGTTCGAATTTAATTCGAACAAATTCGAATAGAAAGCCACTTTCAACCACTTTCAGCCTCATATCTCCCGCACCCTTATAGCTATCGAGACGCAACCACCCCTATGCACGAATGGAGACTTGGGGCTACTACCACATACAAACACCATTTACGTGCGATGTGTAGTTTTGGCGGAAAAGTGAAATATAGGGACATACATGTCCATTTATATATATAAAATTTCCCTGTAGAACTGAATAAGGTTTAATACAGATCAACTCTATCCTGGTAGCTACTTTACATAAGTTACCATTTTACTTAAATGGTCAACATAAAAGTGCCAAAAAGTAACATTTATCACTCTTTAGGTACCAACGAAACAAGAAAATAACATATTTTTAAAATTCTGGTACTTTGAAACTGTGCTAGTAGTTATTAGTAGTAATTCAAACACAAATTATTATTGTATTTATTTTCTTTAGTTGACTAATTTAGTTGTCAACTAAATAAAATTTGATGATAAAAATTGCCAAGTGCCTGAAAATAAATACAAAAATAATTTGTGTTTGAATTACTATATTTTTAAAAATTATAGCTTAAACATTTAGCTAATAGCTATACAGTTATATAGATTAGCAAACATGGCTAAACCCGATATATAACATAGCTAAACACCAACCGTATGCCGAAAATCTATCGGGCTAGTTTAAGGCTACTTACTAAATGAATTACGTAACCAATTTGGCCCTAGAGGTAAGCGTTAGGTTAATTAATTTATTTATAATTATTAAAGTTAATAAGAGATGGCGCCTAAGGCTTACCTATAGGGCCAAATTGGTTACGTAATTCATTTAGTAATTAGCCTTAAACTAGCCCGATAGATTTTCGGCATACTGTTGGTGTTTAGCTTTTAAAAGGTTTTGTAAGATATTCGTACATTTCTGCATATATAATGGCTTGATGTTTAATAACTTTTACTAAATTCTTCTGTTGAAAGAAAGTATTCAAATAGTATTCAAGAAATCACGTTATATTTAAAAGTGAAACGATCATAAAATTTTTAATTCCTAAATAAAATAACCATTATAAAATAAAGTTGAATAGAAACCTGTTTATTTTCCCCCCTCTCATAAAGTAGGAAAATTACAGGAAATAGTTATAACAAATATATATCAGTCAGATCTTCCACTTCTCCTTCGACAATTAACCTTTCAGGTACCATTATTTAATTTTTATTCTCATTTTAATATTCAAATAATACTTTACTTTTTGTAGCACTCGATAATATCGAATCTGCAATAATTCGAGTGAATTAAATTATTATTTTCGAGTAATATATATCTAATTGAAAACTACACTTCGCTTATCGTTACTAAGGCACGAACCCGCGACCTGTGTTTGGTACTTTTAACAAGCAGGCCAAACGACTTGGGTAATGAGTCTAGGGCTCGTCGTACCACCGTGAGGAACCCTAATAATACGAACGTGTCAATAAATTTCAAAGATTTTTTTTTCTTTTTAGTAATAGTACTTGAATTACCTGATCCGTAAAATATATACGTGAATTTTTATCTACTTTACAATCAGAAATACAAACAATCTAGGAGGAAAAGTTTTACTAAAATGTAAAATATTTACAGAACTTGATTTTTTATTTGACTTTACGCATAAAATAATTATTTTTAGGCAATTATTTATTTGAGCAGGCACACGAATAGGCATGGCTAAGTCAGAAGAACATGGCACATCACATACTTTGACGATACTATCGAAGGTACTGTACGGTTGTATACGTGACACATCGATATAAAGACAATGATTGTATTCTACGAATTTTTCATACAATAATTACATTTCATTATTGTAGAAAACTACTTGCTTTATGACCTTCTCCGGCGTAAAATATCATGACCACGTGTTTAAAACTAATTACGATGAAGGTTTTTACGCTAGTGGAGTCTCGGCCTAAAAGTGCTTCGTCTACAGTATGTGCAATCCATTGTAATTACACGGGTCTGCAAAAAAAATTTTTTTCCTGTTGCATGGGATATTTTTGCTGAATTATATGTTTTAAAGATCAGAGATTCTAATAATGACTTCCGTAACATCCCATCACGTAAAGGTTTTTTGCAAAATAAAAACAAATATTTAATAAAAACTCTTATTTATTACAATGAACTAAATATTTTATATTTTCTTACAACTAATCAAATAATTGTTTCTGATATTTATACACAATTTTAGGTCTACTCTTTTTTTATGACACCTTTTCTTCTTCTCTTTGATGCTTCTCCGAACTCGCTTCCGATTTCCTTCTCTGGTTTCTCGATTGAGCATCCAACAGTAGTTAGCTAACATATTAACATCCCATTTTCCTTGGTAACGTCTCTCGATATCACGGACATCCTAGTGAAATCTTTCACCCTGTTCTTCATTGTAGGCTCCCAAGTTTTTGGGAAAATAGTCAATATGGGAGTACAAGAAATGAATTTTTAAGCTCATCTCGAATCCTTGAGTTTCATACAATGTCATCATGCATTATACAATGGTTTTCTAGTCAGGGTCCTTAGTATTCCTCAAAAACTTATGCACTACATTTTTGAAAGAGTCCCATGCTTCTTTTTCCTTTCCCCCCATTGTTTCCAAAAAGAGGGGATCGGATAAAGGGGATGTTGACCACAAACATAACAGAAGCTGTCGGGAGAAATTACTCAACCTCTGCGAATTCCAGAAATAAAAATACAAGCACAGTAGCGTTCGAATGCTGGATATAAACTGAGTGTGGCATTAGATGGCCAGCAAGGTACTGAACTTAGTTAGCTTGCTGAAACATGATCTAATCCAACAGCAGGTTGTTTATATTTATTCCTAGTATCCCAGATAACATGTCAAAACATGCTCAACCTCACCAGTAATATTACTCACAACCAACATTTAACCTGTTTCTATACAGTCATGTAGTTTTTTACTTGCAGACCTGTGTTATTAGAGTACCTAGATTATCAGAGTAGCGACACAAGAGTCATCGCCGCCATGTTCTGTTCCTATGGGTTTACATTAAAAAATGACGATTTTTTCAGTTTAATAAAGCATTTTATTCGTTTCTTTTTAATTCAAGAATATGACGGATGGATGAATGTTACAGGTTCGATAAGTTTTAAATCTCTAGCTTTAGTGTTATTAATTAAATAACCAGATATATTATATAATGAATTCATTTCTGCATTGTTTAGAGGCATATTTTCTGCTTCAAAAATTTCTGGTATAACAACTTTATCATATTCTTTTGTGGTTTACATGAAGAAATTCTGATAAAAACTCTGTCATCATCATCATAACTTCTTTTTTACACATTTTTTTAAATATTGAGATACCGAAATTAATTTTAAATTGTTCTTTATAGCAATTTATGCTTAGTTAAACACAAAAACTTCTTTAAGAAACTATTATCTGAAAAATCTCTTTTAGTAGATTTACACGTGTTGTGTTGCCGTAACCCCGTCAAACAGATATTTCGATAATAATAAAATACGAATTGCTTTATAATACTTTGAATGGCAATTTTCATAACTAATTAATTACTCTATTACATATAATCATGTGAATTGGCGATTATAACTTGATTAATTGTACGTAACACTGATGTAGTTAACCAATCAGAAATGTGAACACATATGATTTATAATTAAATAATTTAAATTCACGGATTAAATTAAACTATTAATAATTATGCATTATTTATATTTTTTCAGCAAAATATGGAGACTGCTGCAAGTACCGCACGAAGAGGAGAATTTAAATGGCTTTATATAGAAGAATATTTATATCAATACGTTGACAATAAATTGACTCAGAGTTTTTTCCCTTACGCTATTTCTATGTCACTGGCATACGTAATAATTATCTTTTATTTACAAAATTACATGAAGTCCAGGCCTCCGTTTCAGCTTCGTTGGCCTCTTGTCATCTGGAATATATTATTGGCGGCATTCAGTATTTGTGGCACTTTAAGATTGCTGCCAGGATTGTGGGTTTTAATTCGAGAGTTCGGATTTATGTTCTCCGTGTGCAACCTCAGCTTTGCAATAAAACATCATCCGCTTCCATTCTGGATGTCTTTATTTGCATGGTCAAAACTTATTGAATTCGGAGATACAATATTTCTTGTCCTTCGTAAACAGAGAGTGATATTTTTGCATTGGTATCATCATGCTTTAACTCTGATTAATGTATGGTATGCTAATTCCATTGAAATGTCCACTACATATTGGTGTATGACAATGAATATCTTTGTACACAGCTTCATGTATTCTTATTACGCTATGAAGGCGATGAATATCAAAGTACCACTGTTTATTGCCATGACAATTACCACAATTCAAATTGCACAGATGTTTATGGGCTGTTTTCTTACTTTATCAGCCACATACATGTATTATAGCGGGAAATATTGCGAACAGACCAACACGAGTCTGTTGTTGTTAAATTTCATGTTTTTCTCGTATGCTTGGTTATTTTGTCGCTTCTTTCGAGATTCATATTTCAAGAGAACAAATTGTAGTAATTTTCCTCATGAGAAATCACAGTAAGTTATGCGTTAGGAGGAAAATTTTCTGAATACAATAAATTGATTATTATTTTGTTTGCATATTATTGATGTTATGATAAATAATATTTTATCTTTAAATACTCTGTTTTAATTAATTAAACACGTGATGAATTTGAATCTCTTATGAATTAAGGAGTAATAACATCGTAAATGTAAGGATTATTAGTTAAACATATTAGTCTTATTGTGTTTAAATTCATATAGTTTTGTTGTACTTATATTTATAAATGGAAATCAAATAAAAATGTTTTCTTTCAATATTATTGACATTATTTTTTCAGAAACACGTGTTAAGAAATTACCGATAAACACGTAGAAATTTGCATAAGCTTGTGTCGAAAGCAATGAAATGTTTCAATTATTGATCAGTTATGAAATATTTTTGGTTTTTTTAAATAAAGGGTTTCTAAATAACAAGTATATCATTATGTAACACAATACTTCATTGGATGTGATATGAAATAAACTGTATCATAAGTTTGGTTGTCACTTAGAAGCAGACAAATATGTGTTATATAGCCTAAATGAATATTAGTCACAGAAGTAATATTGTTATTTTTTAAGTAGGAATTGTATCCTTTTTATCTATCAACAAATTTCTTTTTTTTTGGCAAAAACGTTAAAATATTTGTTTAAAATTATTTATATTTTTATACTAAAGATAATCTTAGCAATTGAATATAAGAGAAACTGAATACAGTGTGTGATCGGTTATCGAACAGTTCGGTTAACGAACAAGTCGGATAATGACGCACTTTCGCGAAAGATTTTTATGTTCGGACAACGAACACATGATCGGATAACGAACATTTCACAGAACAAATACAATAAAAAGTGACGTAAAATAATGAATACCGATTGGTATCCCTTGTTGTTCAGGCAACAATTCGAAGCTTTTTGGAGCGCGGGAGACGTCGACATCGACGCTCAGCCCCGTATATACTGATCGGATAGTATTCCTCCGAACTTTAAAACTTTCCCATGTGATTCCAGCCTTTTATTTTTCTGACAGAAACAATTTTTTATAGTATTCGTGAGATGTCGGGCGGGCACTCGTTAAGTTTTGCGTCGGTTTTTATTTTCGAAAGGTGAGAGTATAATAGCAAAGGTAGAGAATGAGTAAATATCTGATGTCTGCTGTTGCTGGGCAGTATGGCTTGAACAGGTCTACAGTAGGCCGCAGTTCAATCTTATCTAAGAAAGATACTGTATTATCAAGAAGACTCAAGCAGCTTAAGGAGTAACAAAAATCACAGCTGAGAAATGAAGAACATTTAAGAGCTCATAATGGAACTGAAACTGCTCTGACGGCAGAAGAACGCCAAGAACTCTTGAATGAAAAACACCAAGAAACTCGGCGAGATATGTTTTCTTCTGAAAAAGAGAATTAATGTCGATATCTGTTATTAAAGACTTTTTGAAGAAGTGAGATGATGTCAGAACGGCATCCAAATCAGGTTGAAATTAATAGTCTTAGAGATATCTACACCTACAATGCTATTAACTACTTCTGAAAAATCTTGAAGAAGAGAGAAAAGCAATTGACATTAAACAGATTCTTTATCTCCTCACAAACGGAAAAAACATGACTAATAAAAATTCAAGATTGTATATATGTAATTATATTATTACATATAAATAAACGTAGTAACAAATATATATATTTTTTTTAATTTTTGGGGTCCCCAGAACGAATTAATCAAATTCCCATAAAAACCTATGGTAAATCGATAATCGGTTAATGAACAATTCGGTTAGCGAACAAAGTCTTGAAACGGATTATGTTCGTTAACCGATCACCCACTGTATTTACTTTCGCCGATCTGTTATAGGACAGAGGAAATGTATGGCGAACGGTCAACAAATGAACTCCCCAGATTTTTACATTTTTTGACTTCGGGGACCTTGAAACGTCTAAAACAAATCGGTAATTTTTCTGTACAGTATTTATGAATGTTAGTGTGTAGGGCGGCAAGATTTTCTTTATCCTATTTGAAGTTTAATTACTCTTGTGCTATTTGTCGAAAATTTATAATGTTTTGCAGCGAGGTTTGTGTATTGATGCTATTAAATTTTGGTGGATAAAGGTAGAAGGAATGGGAAGATAGAGGGGGATCGTGTGTCCGTCTCTAGTAGGGTCCGACTTAGTGACGATTTGATTCGTTATTAGCATTTAAAATTTTTTTATAAAATGTATCCCTACCCTCAAAATTAAGTTGTCTTGTCACTTTATAATATTTAAAAATATGAAAAGTTTTTAATGCTTGCTTACTTGCTTGCCGGTCCTCTTAGGAGTCAGTTTCGCTTCGTGTTATCGGTTTTTCGGACCTGGAGAATCCATGATTGGTTGAAGTTTGAAGTGAGTCTGTTCATTTTCTCGGGACTATGTCGCCCCGGAAGGGGGTGTAAACATCTAACATGGGCATTTACAATGTGTAAATCCTGGTATAGCGCGGAAGAAATCTGTTAGGACATGAATACATGCTAAGAGTGGGCATAGTGCTAGGCACTCGCTAATGATTTTAATGTGATGATTGGTGCAGGCAGAAGTCTGTATGGTGGAGGTTGGAGCAGTATCAAAAATGCGGCAGGAATCCAAGCGGTGTTTAACATCGTCTTTCACGGTCGGACAGTAATTGCAACGATTAGTAGTGTTGAGGTTCCTGATATACAGAAAGATGTTAGTGTTAGAGGAAGTTGGTTCGTGCACTGTTGATTAGAACAGTAATGTACCGATCACTATTAGAGAAAGTCTTAAAGGCAGTTACGTTGCGCAGTCTTTGGTACTTTCTGGCGTATGTTTAAAAGTTTCAGTCGAAGGCCACGCGTATCTAATTTCTCTCGGCCGTGATGATATTTGTGTTGCGTGCTCTGATGTTTTCGTTGCAGGTAAGGGAATCCGCTTTTTCATTTATCTCTAGGCTCAGATGCTCACGTGAAGGATATGGACGTGGTTGGAAATGGTTTCCTGTTTAGCGCCAACCTACATTTACGATGAGCCTGGCGTTGCTCGGGCAAGAAATAACGATAGCAAAGATGAATATTATTAGATTATAGCCGATCTTACCCGTTTTCACCGGGTGCAAGAATTACTCCTAAAGCTAATTAGAGAACTTTCACATGGGGTAAAAATATGTTCGATTTCTCGCAAAAACGCAAAAACACGCGTCTAAAATAGTATGGTAGAAGCCGAGTTTTTCGGGGTAATCCTTAATTTTCTCACTCTAATCCGCGATGTGAATTTCTAAAAATTCCTTCTTAATGTACATTCTAATGACGTACCTTAACTGTGTCCGAAATTTCAACTTTCAACTCTTAAACATTCTTAGAAATTTAGAATTTATGCAAATTTCTTACCAACTTGTTTTAAAATTTTGATTTTTTCTTACGATTTTTTAACAGGAAAAAAAATGTTTTAATATAAATTTAAGTCTGGAAACTCCTAACATAACTTATTATGTGGCGACAATTAAAAAAAGTTTTATATATGAATTCGCTTTTAATCTCTTTTTTAATACATAAATTTATAGTAAAACTTTTCTATCCGGATTGTTTGTACTTCTGATCGTACAGTAGATAAAACTTCACGTATATTTTCCACGGTTCAGGTAATTCAAGATTTATTACTTAAAAACCAAACTGTTCGATAAATATATCTTATTTCGTGACAACATCTGAATGATTTTGATTCAAAGAAATGTTTTTTTTTCCTTAATGCATAAATGTAAATGTACAAAACATAAATAAAATTAAAAGCTTTTCACTCATAAATATCTGTAAATATAAATAATATAAAATGAAAAATTCGGATAAAATTTATATGAAAATCACAGTCCACTCTTAAACGTTTTATTGTGAAAGAACAATGTGAATAATGATTTTAGCACGAGGAAACTAAATTCTAACGATATCCACTCATCCTCTTATCTATAAACAATACAATAGATTAAGGTAAGCATCATTACATTTGACTTTTTTTATAAATTTCAAAAATATTTAAGTTTTTAGAACGATAACTAAATGCTCGGAAAGTATGACACGAAGCTGGAAAGTTAAATAAATTGATGTGATGCTATTGAACAATTCTGCCGTTATAAATTATTATAGCGTGTTTTAATGCAATTGCACCTATTTGTGTATTATAAACAATTGAAAAACTTGCTTTCTTATAAAAAATCCTTTACACAAAAGTATTGTTTTTCTGTTTAATTTATTATTATGTATTGTTTTCATTAATTTACAAAATTTACAATACTTTATAATGTAAAACGTACTAGAAATTACCCTTAATTCGCATTATTCTCATCAACAAAAAAAGAATGATTTCTAATGATTTTCTTTTATGATAAATATGAAAATTACCGGTTTTAAATGATAATAAAATATAATAAAGTTTTACCTGTGATCAAAATTTCAGACTGTATTATTCCTAAGAGGNCGTGCAGGAGTGAGTGCTCTGAAGATCCCCACTAAAAGATATGAATGCGAGTATATGATGGAATATTGTACACGTGTGAATGAGTTTGTGCGGGTTCAAAGGCCAGTTGTACCCTTCAAGAATTGCAGCTGTAAAAATGTTATTGTCCATATTCAGCGAAAAACTAAGTGAACTGGTGTTTGGTCTTCCTAAATACCACAATCGCATTGTGGATTGTCTCCAAGGTTAAATCTATGCAAGTATTGCTTAAAGTTGCCGTGTTCTGTAGGTAATTTCTTTTTGGAATCACACCTGATTTAAAGATCACTCGTATTGCACTGCCTTACTCCATTAATTTCCTTACTTTGCCTTTTTTACATCTATTTAATGGGAATGTACTATTTATGCATACATTGCTCTATATTTAATAGTTTAAACATAAAATATCATAAACAGTAATGTCAAGTACATGATTAATCATTAATTATTTAAGTAATTAATTTATTTATATTCATTTTTATGTTGTACAGCATGCGAGTACTACCTCCAACAAAGCAAATAAT